TATCTCTCTCTCTCTCTCGCTTGTCGCTTTGCGCTCTGCTTCAATGCGTGTGCAAGCGAGAGCCCCGCTTATCCTCCATTGGGCATGCTTTCTCCCACACGCGAAATGCAACACAGCCTGAGTTGCAGAAACAAAATCATGAAACTCTTCGCAACTAACCCCTCCCCCCCCCCCACACACACACACACCACAACACAGGCCAACCTGGGGATTATGTGGTGACGTACACGGCTGTCGACTCGTCTGGGAACGAGGCGAGGATGGACGTGACGGTGCGCGTGGTGGACGCCACCAAGCCGCGCATCGAGTTTAACCCGCTGCTGCTTGTTGTGGAGGCGGCAGTCGACAACCCAGACTTCCTTGCGGGCGTGAGCGCGTACGACAAAGTGGACGGGGACCTCACATCCAAGGTGCGCACCAACGCGGCCTCTGTTGTGAACCTTCGCAGTCCAGGCGACTACGAGGCTCGCTACTTCCTCGCTGGGCCAGACAGCAGCGGCAACTTTGCGCAGGACCAGCTGCGCACCATCCGCGTTGTCGACACCACCAAGCCCGTGCTGGTGCTTGACCCGCCAACCAACCTGACCCACGAGGCAGGCACGCCCTATGTTGACCCGGGTTACCGCGCCACAGACACGCTTGACGGCGTCCTCACAGGCACCGACCAAGTCCAGATCTCAAACGAGGTAAGCGTGGTCGCACCCGCACCCTTGTTTTGTTTCTGGTGGTTTGTGTTTGTACTTGTGTCTGTGCGTTTGAGTTTGCGTGTGTGTGTGTGTGTGTGTGTGTGTGTGTGTGTGTGTGCGTGCGTTTGCCTCTTAATGCTGCTTCTGCCGATGTGATTACACTCGCAATTGCACATGCTCACTCACATTCACACTCTCATGTAATCACACTCACCCCACAATCTCATTTACTCACCCACATTCACTCCCTCACTCCCCTTCCTTCCTGTCCCTCTCCGCCACTCTTCAGGTGAATGTGTTTGCACGCAACTTTGAGGTGTTCTTCGTCACGTTTACGGCGACAGATCAGGCGGGTAACACGGTGACTCGAATTCGCACCGTCACTGTGGTCGACACAAAGCCGCCCGTCATCACCATCAGCGGCGACAGCGAGGTGTTCACAGAGGCTGCCCTGCCGTACACAGATGACGGCGCAAGTGCCACGGACGTGCGGGATGGCGACATCACGCCCAACGTCGACAACCCTGTGAACGTGTTCCCCGCATCGGTGCCAAAGATGTTTGCCGTGACGTACGTTGCGCAGGACGCTGCGGGCAACATGGCGACAGCCACTCGCCAAGTGACCGTCCGCGACACGCTTTCCCCCACGGTGACGCTGCGTGGTGCTAATCCCTTCTACATCGAGGCCGGCGTGGCAAGGAGCGTGCCTGGTGTGCAGGTGTCTGACCTGTACGACCGTGAGCAGGACATTGCGCTGGTGAGCAACGTCGCCGATGTGAACATCCGGCCTGCCTCCACCCCTGCCGTGTACACGGTGACCTACACGGCCACAGACCGCTCCGGCAACTCGGCGTCTGTCACGCGCAAAGTGATTGTGGAGGACACGACGGAGCCGTCCATCCTGCTTGAGGGCGCAAACCCGCTGGAGTGGGAGGGCGGTGTGACGTGGAGAGACCCGGGCCTGAGCGTGGCGTTTGACTCGTTTGACGGTGACGTGAGCGCGAGCACTATCACGGGCGTGCAAGTGCGCGATCTGGGTGTGCGGCAGGAGGCCCAGTGCTCATTCTCAACGGCAGAGATGTTTGCTGAGCCGCCCGCCCCAACCTCCTACCACTCCACCCCGCCCAGCGTGCGCTTCGTGGACGTGTTTGCCCCGCCCAACACCGTGTACGACATTGTGTACACTGTGAGCGACCGTGCAGGCAACCAGGCGTCCCGCACACGCTCTGTCGTCATCCGCGACACCATCCCGCCGCAGGTGTACCTGCGCGGCCGCCGCTCCATGTACATCGAGTACCTCACCCCCGAGATGATGGCAGACCCCGCGTTTGCGGGCATGCTGTATCCGCGACCGGGTGCGGAGGCCCAGGACCGCCTGGATGGCGACATCTCTGCCAGCATCTGTGTGACGGTGTCACGGTTTGAGTTTGACGCGACGCGGCCCGGTGCGGTGGCGGCGTTCAACGAGACCCTGCCGTGGTACACGCTGCGGCAGCGGTCTGGGTTCAACAGCCTGCTCAACTCCGAGCCCGTGGGCACGCTGTTCCTGGTGGAGTACGTTGCGCTGGACGGCGCGGGCAACACGGGCAGCGAGATGCGGCGGGTACTGGTGCGCGACAGCACACCACCGCTCATCACCATCGGAGGCAACGACACTGTTGCGGTGCCATATGGCACGACCGTGGCACACGTGGTCGGTGGCTACAGCGCACACGACTGGCACGATGGTGACGTCACAGACAGGGTGCGCGTGCACGGTGTGGGGGACATTGACGTGTACGTGAGCGCCAGGTACACTGTCACGTACCGCGTTGCTGACCAGGCCAACAACACAGCAGAGGTGTCGCAGATTGTGGATGTGCTGCCTGTTGTGCGCCCGGCACCAGGGTACACGGTGACAATTCGCTTCCAGGCGTTCAAGAACCAGATCATCCCAGACGTGCCCGAGTTTGAGCGCATGATGACGCAGGACGTGTTTGGCGGCGACTTTGCCATTGTCCTCTCCGTGGAGGAGCGGGCCGTCAACTCGGGTTCGGAGACTATGGTTGAGGTTGGCGTGCGCGACCGGGACACGCTGGCGTGGATCCCGTCGACAGAAGTGGCGCGCGTGGTTGAGGCGTCGCGCGCTGTTGCCAACGGCGACATCTTTGGGTTTGGCGTGGCCGCCGTCAAGGCATCCGGCAGCTCCAGCGGAGGCAGCGGCGTGGGGACGGGCGCGGTGGTGGCTGCCGTCGTGTGCGTGGTGATCGTGGTGGCGGTGATTGCGTTTGTGGTCATCCGCCGCCGCACACACCGCAACGCCCTGGGCCCGTCACCCGTGCACAAGCCGTCCGGGTGGGACGAGTCCAACCCGCACCCGTACCGCGTGGAGCACGCTGGCGGGGGCGCGCGGAGCCCGCGGCAGAAGAAGGGCAAGAAGCCGTCCATGCTTGACATTGACCATCGCGAGCGCGCGTCCATTGGCATGACGTACGAGAACCCGCTGTTCCAGAACCGGAAGAAAGCGCCGGACAACGGGTTTTACGAGCTGGAGAAGCACCGCAATGCGCCAGCCCAGCAGGACATGTACATGCCCGCGGGCCAGAACGGCGAGGCCCCGCGCGGGTTTGGGTTTGAGGTGTTCCAGGGCGGCCTTGGCGTTGCCGAGACAGACGATCAGGACTACGACAAGCCCGTCGTGCGCGCAGCAGACCCCAACGACGTTGGCATGTACGACAAGCCTAAGGTGCGGCTGGACGGCAGCGAGGGCCTTGGCGGTATGATTGACGACGACGATGATGAGGTGTACGACCTGCCCAACAGGGGCGGTAGGAAGGCCGCGATGCCGCCGCCGCTGCCGGCAAAGAAGAGCGACGCTGCGTTTGCTGGCATTCTGGAGGCGACTGGCGGCGACGACGATGACGACGATGAAAGCGACGGAACGCCGGACCTGCTCGCCCACGCCGTGACGCTGCCGGGCTACTTTGGCCAGATGAAACGCGACGCAGCGGAGGAGCGGCTGCTGGAGGAGGCGCCGGGCACCTATCTGTTGCGTGCAAGCAAGTCGGTTGGGGGCGTGGTGCTGTCGTGCAAGACGCCTGCGGGCCATGTGGAGCACCACGTGATGGAGATGAACGAGTCTGGGCGGGTGACAATCAACGCGGACCAGCTCAACAACTGCGTGGGCCTGTCGCAGGCGATTGCCATGCTGCGCAGCGCCAACACGTTCCTGCCGTATGTTCTCACGCAGCCGCTCAAGGACACGAGCGAAAGCAGCGACGTCACCCTCAACTTTGTGCGGGGAACATCTGAGCGGCGCCGCGGTGGGCGGCAGCAGCCACCACCGCTCAAGTCGCGATCGAGCGGTGCAGCCGGCGGCGACAACGCGACCACCACTGCCGCTGGTGGCGGGGGTGCGCCGTTTGGAGGGTCGTCGCGGTGGCTGCATGGCGCCATCTCCCGCAAGGAGGCGGAGAAGAGGATGGCTGCTGCGGGGCTGACGGATGGGCTGTTCCTCGTGCGTACCAAGGACAAGTCGTATGCGCTGACCATGAGCGATGACAAGCGCGTGAGCCACCATCTCATCACGCCTGCGCCTGGTGGTGACTGGGTTGTGAACAACAAGCAGCTGCCGGAGCGGTGCGAAACGGTTGAGGATGTCATTGCACTGCTGGCACGCACGCGTGTGGACACGGTGCCTGCCAAGCTCACCACGCCACTGCAGCCCGACGCTGAGGCGTAACGTAACCACGTCTCATGCGTGTGTCTTTGTGTGTGCGTATGTGTGTGCGTATGTGTGTGTGCGTGTGTGTGTGTGCGCGCGCGCGCGTGTGTGTGTGTCTTTTTTTTTCTTTGTGTGTGTCTTTTTGTGTGTATCGGTACTTTGACCATTGTGTTTTGGTTGTGTGCCACCAACGCTCACGAGGCTTCACCACCACCAAGTTAGCTGCTGCTGACCTTGCTCATCCTGCTAGTTGTTTCTGTTTCCCTCCCCTTCTCCCTTTCGTATCTCTTGCCATAGGTGTGAAGCTTTCACAACGTATGTGTGTATGTGTGTGTGTGTATGAGTTTGTGTGCGTTTGTGTGCTCTCCTTGATTGCATTCGGTGGCTGTGGGAAGTGCCATTTCGTCTTCCTGTGTTTTGCTTGCTTTTCTTGGCCCCCATTTCTCGTTTCCCTGTTTGCTGTATTGGGCTCAAATCGAACCACCTCAGTGAACAGCGCCATGACAGCTGCCTGCCGACAATGATGATGATGTTGATGATGTTGATGATGTTGATGATGATGACATATGTAACAGCATGTTGCGCGGGTGAACCGCTGGCAGGAAACGCCTGCCGGCAACATGGCAAAACAGGCGAGGCAGGAGGTAATGTGATGTAACACAACACAACAAATCGGCGTCAAACAGGAGCGAGCTCTCGTGCACAAGTCATGGTGTGGGATTGATTGTTGGCGTGGTGGTGTGCGAATAGAGACTGCTAGGGGGCCGTGCTGCTGCTGCCATCCATCACATGTTGATGGATGAACGATACAGCCTCTCCTTGTGCCTTCGCGCATGCTCCAACTGTGAAACGGGCCCGGGAGGGGGGACAGGCGAGCAAGTGGTGATTCGTGTGAGATGTGGATGGAAGCAGAGTGCAAGTGTGTGTGTGTGTGCGTATGTGTGTGAACAAGCAAGCGTGTGTTCCGGAAAGGACTGATCATACACACACAACACAACATAATACAACACACACACACGCGTGCGCACACATGCATATACACCATTGCATGTACACGTACGCACCTTTTTCGCCTTGCGATATGCCTTGACAAATTCGCCAACTTCCATTTCGTCTGAACCAGATCCGACACGAGTCAAATGCATGAGCGTGAGCGAAGTCTTGAAGCGATGATCACATTTGCATCATAGTCGGTCACGAAGCTTGTGTGCATCGTGAAAAGGTAAACAGCTAATTGCTACAGGCGAGTGCGTGAGCAGATGCATCAACGGACCATCGTGAAACTTGTCCAGAATTTCCTCTGCTTGTCCTTCCGCCTCCGACGCCTGAACTGCCAGTGTCGCTGCAATTGTGTCCGAGTTGAATTGCTAGATTTGTTTGTTTGTTTGTGTGTGTGTGTGTGTGTGTGTGTGTGTGTGTGTGTGTGTGTGTGTGTGTGTGTGTGTGTGGGTGTGGGTGTGGGTGTGTGTGTGGGTGTGGGTGTGTGTGTGTGGGTGTGTGTGTGTGGGTGGGTTGGGTTGCGCAGAGGGGGTGACAGCAGCGTGAGTTGTGTTGCAAGGGAGAACGTCATGACGATGCGGTGCACACGTTCAACACTTGAGGGGAGAACAGATGGACAGGACAGAACAGAACGAGAGGATGGAAGGGGGGGGGTTCAACGCACACATACACAACAAACACACATGCATGTGGCGAGCGAACGCGTGTGCAACATCGATTGTACTCACGTCGGCCAAATCCGTTTGCTTGGACACTTTTGCCTGCACGCTTTCTGTCCGCCTGAAGATTTCGTCCTGAAGAGACTTCAACTCCGCCTTTGCCGCATTCAACTCGGGCTCCATCGACAGGTTTTGTTCTGCCAGGTGAACCACAGTTGTGAATGTGTGTGTGGAGTGTAAAAGGAAGTGCTTCTGCATGCAACGAAGATCGAGCAAGCAAATACACACACGCACACACACACATGCTCACACACATGCGTGGCGTACCTGCGAGAACAGCGACGGCGTGCTTTGTGTGCTCGACGGCCTGGATGCACTGGTTGGTGTAGTCGAGGCCCTCCACGAATTCGTCGATTTTCGCCGATGACGAGCGTAGCGCCTCAAGCTCCTCCATGCTGGTGGTGGTGATGACGATGTGGTCATGGGGTGATGGCATGATGGGTGAAGACATGGTGATGATGTATGATGTGGTGGCGATGATTTGTTGGTTGGATCGTGATGGCGAACGGAGAGGGCAGTCAAGCAGTTGCGTCGATGGAAGCAAAGGTACAGTGACATGCAACATACACACATGAAATACAAACACATGTACACACATGCATACACATGCACACAGAACTATATGTGCACAACACGAAGACGATGGCGCCAACCTCATGTCTTTGATGAGGTGCTCAACATCTGGGAGCGCCGGCAAATGCGCGCTGCCAGTGCTGGCGCTGGCGCTGTGTGTATGTGTGTGGGAGTGACCCGTTGCATTTGTGGACGCCGAGTAGTGGCTGTGCTGGCTGTAACTGGGGCTGTGTGTCGACGGCGATGTTGGGGACCTGAGAGATGTCAAACACAAGACCGGTGCAGGAGGAAGGAGCAAAAGTACAACGTCATCTCATACATCTTTACGCTTGATGCCAAGATTGCGACAAGTGATATGAAGCAGGAACAAAGGGCCAATGGTGCTAGCGCTAGTGATCATGTGCCGCACACAGACGTACATGAGAAAGTGCGGTGGGTTGTCGGTGAGTTGGCGGATGACCTGATGCGCGACCTGGCCGAGATCAGACGTCATGCTCCACTGCTCATGCCGTACGCGAGGGACAGAGAGACAGAGACAGAGGTGGGTAGGGGCGAGCGGTGGTTTGTAGGGGGCGTGGTTGTGTGTGTGGGTGGGGGGGGGGAGGGGTTGTGCGTGTGTGTTGTTTTATGTGCATGAGACAATGTGACACGCATGCACACACACAACACACACAACACACACAACACACACAACACACACAACACACACAACACACAACACACACGCACACGAAACTATCGACTGCAGTGTGCTGTATGTCACATGCGTTTGCCGTACCTCTTGCAGAAGATGGCAGCCAGTGACAGATCCCTGCATTGTTGGGAAACAAGAACAAAGGCCACGTGCGAGTGTGTGTGTGTGTGTGAGCTGGCTGCCTCGAGATGGTGCCTGCCGGTGTAGGATGTCCACAACGTTGTGCAGGCAGGTCAGAAGAAACAAGTGACAGCAAGAACAGCAAGAACAACAACAGCGACAGGTAGTGGCGGACAGCAGCAGCAGTTAAGACACATGTGCATACGGAAGAAGGCTCGAGCCATGGATGCTGCATGGGCGGGCCTTGGACGCTGAGAACCGGCGGCGCCTGGGGAAAGTTGATGGGAAGGAAGCTGCGCAAGCACAGACGACACAAACCAAGCGGCCGCATGCGTGTGCAGCGACAAGAATAAGAAGAAGAAAAAGAAGCGGCAAGAAGAAGAAAAGTGGTGAGGCCTGGAAGCTGTAGAAGAGCCAGTGAGCGAACAAACCAATCACGAGGACCAGCAATCTCCCCTACTCGACCGGGGAACAGGCGCACAAGAACGGAACCAACATGGTGAGGGTGAGGGATTTGCCTTTCGCCGTGAATGGAACACGGAACTTGCTGTTTGGCGTCACCGTCTCCACCCTGAACAACGGTAGAAGCAAGAAACCCGGCGTTAGTCAGTCATTGCTTCGATGCATGGTGTGTGTGTGTGTGTGTGAGTGTGAAGTAGCGCTCTTGAAGACAAATGGGGCTTTGAGGAGCTGGGGGGTTTGAGGACAAGAGGACGAAACACAAACACTCAGACAACCAAACTAGAACAGACAGAACAGATGGTGGGCACACCTGCATTTCGATTCCAAGGATTGGATATGTCTGCGGCGCAAGTCCGACAGGTGGGTGGTGGACTGTGACGCTTGTTGCGTCGCCGTACCACCACCAACACGGAAGCTGAACGACATTGGGTGGGTTTTGTTTGTGCGGGTCCACCAAAGAGGGGGGTTGGTTGGTTGGCTGTCTTCTTCTTAGCTCGTTGCTTGCTCTTGATGTTGTAGAAATGTAGTTGAAGATTTCCACCAACAATCCACAATGATGACACATCGAATGTGTGGTGCTGTTTGTTGGAGTGGCTGCTCGTCAAGTCACATCGCAACATCACGCACACACACACACACACACGCACACACAAACACACATACACACACACTCTCTCACTCTCACACACATGCTTCTCGTTGCGTGAGTGTGGCCATTATCATGCAGTGTAGTCATCAACGAAAGCTACAGTGGTCTGTATCATGTGTGGAGAATGAGGTCAGTCACAGAAACACACAGACACACAATCACACACACAAAAGGTGGAACTGCAAGAACACAAAAGACATTGAAAAGCAACTGTAACTGCAGCAATAGCAGCGCGAGAGTTAACGACTCAAAGACTCCCTGCCAAAAGTAATTCAGGACAGAACAGGCTGTAACACAAGAACAAGCAGATGCGAAATCAAATCGACCAAGCCACATGGAGGATACTGTTGCAACGTTGAAGTGCCCAGCCAACCGGCAAGGAAAACACGACAACAATTCACAGATCTGAAGCAGAACAACGGGAGAAATGGCAGACAGGCCACCGCCTTCACCTCCCCTCCCCCCCTCTCCCCCCCTCCCCTCTCCCTCTGGTCACGTTGCTTCACTGGTGTCCACCATTCACCACGACAGGTCGTCATCCTTCTTGAAGGAGAGGGTGGGGCTGTTTTCCGAGTAGAACTGGCTGTACCAGCGCCGGTGCTGGGCAATGAGCTTGTCCTCCTTGACCAGCACGGGGTTCTTGCGGTACATCTTGTTGTTCCACACCATGACGTCGCGCTCAACTTGCTTCGCCTCGCCAATCAGATAGAACTTGGACACAATTTGCGGCACCGTGAACGACGAGTAGATGGTGTGCGTCAGCTCCTGTTTGTGTGTGTGTGTGTGTGTGTGTGTGTGTGTGTGTGTGTGTGTGTGTGTATGTGTGCGTGCGTGTGTGTATGAGTATGTGTATGTGTGTGTGTGTGTAAAATTGAGAGAATATGCGTGACAATATGTGCAAGCGAGGAACATCAGACACAACAGACGGTAGAGCAAGGTGCTTCATCAAAAGACACACACGCCATACGCACATACGCACACACGCACATGCACGCACCTGGTAGAGGGGCTCGACGGGGGTGAGGGTCTGGACAAACACGCCGGTGCCGAAGAAGGAGGACCACTCGAGATACACAAGCCCAGGGCCAACCTGCAGTCGTGGTGGTGGTGATACCACGTGGTGGCGTTGAGGGTACCCGGGGAAAGGCACAAGGCTTCATGTGCGTGTGTGTCGTGCACACAAATACAAGGACACGATAGGCACACTTGCATGCACGCCCCCCCCCGCCCGCTCGGCACTGCAAGAGATGTGGACCTGTGTCGCCGTGAGCTTGATGTCCATGACGGGGAGTTCATGTCCGAAGATGGAAAGACGATGGACAAGGTTGAGGACGGAGAGATGCTTCTTGCCAGGCTCCTCCACAGGCGCCCACGACGCGTACCAGTTGTGTTTCACAAACTCAAACCGCGAGCTAATCGGACAGGAGAAGTGTGTGTGTGTGTGTGTGTGAGTGTGTGTGTGCGTGTGTGAGTGTGTGCGTGCGTGCGTGTGTGTGCGTGCGTGCGTGTGTGTGCGTGCGTGCGTGTGTGCGTGTGTGTGTGTGTGTGCGTTTGGGGGTTGCATACACGACACGACACACGACACACGACACACGACACACGACGACGTACACGTGACGACATGTGAGAAGAAAGCACCTTTGTGCTTCACAGAGACACAGGTCTTGCCAAACGACAACACGCACGCGCGTGCACGGACCTGTGTGTATCTCTGAGGTCTGTGCCCGAGAGGAGACCGGGTCCATGCAGGTAGTGGAGATGCGCCACGTCCGCGCCGTTCTCAGGCACCTCCTGCACACACGCACGCACGCACGCATGAGGGGAAGGAGGGTTGGAGTGGTCACTTGTGAGCAACATGTCATGCACACACGCACACAACACACAAAAACACACGTACACACGTACACAGCACACACGCACACACACAACACACGCGTACCTGGATGTGGCAGTTGAGGTAGTGGCGGGTGAACCCGCTCCACCACCAGCCGTTGTTGATCTTCTTCAGCTCGGGCGGGTACCACGTGGGATCCCGGTCCTCTGCATCAAACCTGATCACGGCAACGGGCAAGACGATGGTGGTGATGACGATGGTGAGAATGGTGAGGTGCGCATCTTGTCGTGAGACAGGCAGCTGCACGCACATGCGCACACACACACACACATACACACGCATACATCGTCACACATCACACGCACACGCACACACTCATGCACACACGCATACATCCACACATACATCCACGCACGCATACCGTACCAGAGGAGGACGTGGCCGTTGACCTCGTGGACGTGGTAGGAGGTGGTGTGCGCCTGCTCGGGGATCTTGGACTTGCTGTAGGGGATGTCTGTGCACTTGCCCTCGCAGTTGAACTTCCAGCCGTGGAACGGGCAGTGCAGCGTCTCGCCAACAACCATGCCGCCTGCAGCGCAAAGGAGGCGGAAGCGGGTCGGGTAGCGGGTGAAGCGGGTGAAGCGGGTGAAGCGGGTGAAGAGCGGGGGAGGTGACTTGTGAGTGAGTTATGGAAGGGTAGTGGCCAAGACACGAGAAGCCAAACGCAAAGCAACAAAGCAACACACACACACACACACACACACACACACACACACACACACACACACACACACACACCTGCGGCAAGGTTGGCGCCGAGATGGGTGCAGTAGGCGTCCAGACAGCCGACCTTGCCAGACTCCGTGCGGAACACAGCAAACTCCTTTCCAAGAATATGCACCTGCTTGGCGCCTTAGTTGGTGTGAAGTGTGTGGGTGTGGGTGCACAGGCACAAGCGTGTGGGCTAAAACGACGTGACCGCGCTCTCAGACTCGACTGTCGTGGCGGCGGCAAGAACATTGGCCAGTCACATTGGCCAGTCATATTGGCCAGTCATCACACCGCAACCAACACCCAGAGCTCACTCACTGCCTGGCTTGAGGTCGCGCGAAAAGCAGAGCTGGAACCAGCCATTGGGATACACGGGTGGAAGGTCGCCTGTCAACCGGCGCCGGCGCACCTGTCAGGTGATATTGGCAAGGGAACAGCGAGACGAAAGGCATCCTTGTGAACCAACTGCGACGCAACGCAACGCAACGCAACGCAACGCAACACACACACACAGACACACAGACACACAGACACAGACACACACACACACACACACACACACACACACACACACACACACACACACACACACGCGCACGCACACGCGCGCGCGCTCATGCACCGACGATGCAGCGCCTGTTCCGCCTCCTCAAAAGCAATACATTTCCCCGTTCACGTCGTCCACTGCCTCCCTCAACCCTGCCCCCGCCCTGGTGCACACCTCATTGGCGCGCTCGACGCGGCTCTGGTCCGGCTCCATCAGGTATCCGACGTCGTGCATTCGACGACGGTAGCGGGCAGGCACGAAGAGAAGGCGGTACACGAGGTAGACGGCGGTGAGGACGACAGTCCAGAAGAGGAGCCGACTGCCCATCACGGTGTCCACAACGACGCCAGCCTCTCCAACAACGGCCTCCCACTCACGCTGCACGGTTTCTGACTGTGGCAGCATGTCGGCAAGCTGCGCCACTGCTGTCGTGACCACCCCCATCTTTCCGTTTCTTCTGGCTGTGCAGTCTGTCCAAGCGAGGGCAGTGTCGTGCGTGAGCTTTGGCAGACAATGCACACCAGTGAACAAACAATGCGTGCAAACGCGAGTGCGTTTCTGTTGCACCCCCATTCACGCAAAAAGCAAGCAATCAGCAAGCAACAAGACACACAAAGACAGACGACCTTTGGTTGGCAAACAATACCAGCAGCAGGTGCACCCTCAACACCCACCCACTGCCAGGTTTTTGATGCAAGCAAACCTGGCCAAGGCAAATTTGCCTTTGTGTGCTGAAGGAAGTCAAACTTGACTTTTGAGGACCGCGAATTTTTCAAACCGCCAAGCAAACGAAGACAAGACAACGCTCAAAGATGGCATCGACGCTGCGCAAGGCCACGGACATCTGTCAGGAGACACGCGAGGTGTTGGACCCGGAGGAGGATGTTGCCAAGGTGCAAGCCATCAAGGAGGCCACCCACGCCACCTTTGAGGGGTGGAGCAAAGAGGAAAAGTCCCTCCAAGACCAAATCAGAGGTGTGTGCCTGCGTATGTGTGTGTTTGTGTGCGTGTGTGTGATGCAGAAAGGTGTGGGATGCAGAGTGTGCTTGTTTGTGTGTGTGTGTGTTTGTGTGTGTGTGTGTGTGTGTGTGTGTGTGTGCGTGCGTGCGTGCGTATGCGTGTGTGTGTGCGTGCTTGTGTTTGTGTGCTTGTTTGTTTGTGAATCAGTGTGTGGATATGAGGGTGCATCTTGTGTTTTGTTGGTTGTGCATGTGTCAGCGAAGCAGTCTGGTACCCATAGCATGTGTCTCGTGTGTTCACATGCGCGCCCATGCTCACGCGTGTAAACGCTCAACTGTTTCCTTTGACTGACTGTTGAACTGATCCCAACCATTCAAACACAACTCAACTCAACCGCAGAGCTAACGCGGGAGTACGAAGAGAGCAAACGCGCAATCCCAGACGCCCTGACCGAGGAAGACCAGGAGCGGGCACTGGATGTGCTTGACGAGCAGCTGCAGCAAGCAGCAACCTCGTGTCGAACACAAGAGGATGCGCTCACCCGCAAGCGTGCGCAGATCAAGGCCCTGAAAACGGAGATTGAGGACCTGGAACGCAAGAAGGTGGACATTCAGCGACAAGCCAAGGAGAACTCCGCAGCCGCCAAGCGGTGCGTGTATGTGTGTATGTATGTGTTGTGTGTATGTGTGTGTTGTTTGTATGTGTGTATGTATGTGTGTATGTGTGTTTGTGTGTGCGTGTGTGTGTGTGTGTTTATGTGTGTGTAAGTGCATTAATTCTTGTGTGTCTGTGTGTGCGTCCTGTTGTCACACCGCTATGCGTGCGTACACGCACTGTTGGTGCCACGGTTCAAAGATACCTCATGTATCGCCGTCGTTGGCATTCTTCTTGCGCTTGTGCAGGTCTACGCTGCAGCTCTATGAGACGGTGACGGGCCTCAAGTGGGAGTACACGGAGCAGCAGCGCGTCAGCGGATGTGAGTAGCCGCCTTGACCACATTTCTTGTCGTATCATTTCACTTGCAACATCACTCGCACGCCCACACGGAATGCACAGCTTTGTCCCCTCACACTGGGCAGTCCGCGGCATGCGCTCACACGCGACACCACGCACACATGTACATCTGAACACACACACACACACACGCACGCACACTCACTCGCCCACGCACTCGCACATTCATCTACACACACGCGCGCGCGCATCACACGCACTTGCACACATCTATCTACATTAGATGTGTCTGGCAAAGCAGGGTACTTGAACACGTTCTCCTTCAACCCCGAGCGGCAAACGCCGTTCTTCATCGCAGAGAAGTTGTGGCAGGAAATTGGCATCGCCTGCCAGTAGTGGACCCTGCAACACACCAAGAACGTACCAACAACCCACCCTTCATGCACACATGCACGCAGGCGTCAGTATTGCTGCGGCTGCTTCTGCTGTGGCAACTGGCGAGTTGTGTGGCGTTGTGGTGCTGCTGCTGTAATGTCTCATGCCAGCCAGAAAAGCCTCTGCTTCCCCTCTCCACCACCGTCACCTGCACTGGATGTGCCAGTGCATTTGCTTCTCTCATCCGCCTAACTGCTCTCCTTGCTTCCTATGCTTTACTTACGGACGTTGAACACGAGTTATGTTGTTGTGCTGTTTTGCTGTTTTGTTGCTGCGTGGTGTTGTGTGAAGTGTTGATGCTGTTGTGCTGTGATGTTGTGGTCGTGTGATGGTGTCAGCACGCGACACGCATCCGAAACATAAACCAAACAATGACCACCACTCGTCATCAGCAGCTCAACACTGAGCTCGTTTATGGCTTTGGTGGGTGCCCTCAGTCCTGATCCTGAGAGGGCGAGGAGCCCCGCATATGCTTGTCTGCAGCGTTGTCAGCACCACTCCTGCTGCCGCTGCTGCTGTCGTTGTTGTTCGTGTTGCTGGTGTTCTGCTTGCTGGTCTTGCCACTGCCAAAGAGCCAGCCAAGCGCCCCGCCCGTCTGTTCTGCCGTGACATTCAGGTGCACGTCACCGTCCGTCACAAACAGCTGCACGCTGCATCCTTTGCTGATCTTGTCCTGACGGCACAGGTTGTGCGGATGGCATGGCAAAAGGGTGAGAGTACATTGGCGCATACGCACATGCGTGTGTGTGTGTGTGTTTTAGTGTAGATGGAGGGGGCAGCAAACCTGAAAAGCGAACGAACATGTTCGCAAACAAACATGTCAACACACACACACACATACACACACACACACAACCACAAACACACAAACTGCACCCCTGCTCCGTGGCACCTGTTCGTGTGCGGCTGCGAGGCGGTTGATGATGAGCTGGTCAACGGCGTGCTGGAGAGAGCGCGCGCCATAATGGATGTCGTACTCCTCCGCCACGCGCTGCACAACAGCATCGTCCCACGTCAGCTCCATGTTGTGCCGCTGGCAAGTGGCAAATGCGAACGTACGTTTGTGTGTGTGTGTGTGTGTGTGTGTGCGTGTGTGTGTGTATGTATGTATGTATGTGTGTGAGTGAGCGCAAGTATATGTGTGCATGTCGGGTTTGCAAGCTGAAGAGGGGCAAAACAGATAATCACCTTTGCTGACAAGCTCAACACGCGCAAACGCAGAGTACACAAGCCAAACATTAGCCGTTGATGCATCACCACACCTCCTTTGCGCGCTGCTGCCACTTCTTCAGCTCGAGAAGAACAAGTTGGTTCAGCTCCGATTTGGAAAACGGAACAAAGTACAGGATCTCATCAATCCTGCAACCCAAACACACGCGCATGCAACATACACATGACAGACGTTACACAACGCAAGCAATAAGAGAGTGTGGGCTGTCAAGCTTCAAAGGCACAGAACTGCAACGCCTCTCGGCTGACATGACAACCACGAGCAGTCCATGCATACGCACATGCCCACGTAAATACGAACACACAGAATCATACGTGTGCGTGTGTGTGTGTGTGTCTGTGTGTGTGTGTGTGTGTGTGTGTGTGTGTGTGTGTGTGTGTGTGTGTGTGTGTGTGTGTGCGTGTGTGTGTGTGTGTGCGTGCGTGTGTGTGTGTGTGTGTGTTCGGACCTGCCGAGGAACTCGTCCCGCTTGAAGTGCGCCTTCAGGATTGGGCGGATTATCTGCTCCTTGAACTGCTTCGACAGTGAAAAGTGCTCGTCGCTCTGCAGGGGGAGGGGGCGAGGTGGTGTTGAGAGTGTAAGAGGTTGGTGGTGGTGGTCAGAGGCAGAACAACGCTGGCGAGAGACAGCACAGCTTGGTACATCCCCTTGCAGACACAGGCCGAGCAGCATCATTCTTTCTCTCACACTCAAACACACACACACACACTCAAACGCACACACAAAACACTCACACACACACAAAACACAACACACACTCTCTCTCACACACTCTCTCTCTCACTCACACTCACACTCACACTCACACACTCACACACAAAACACACACACACACAAAACACAACACTCACACTCACACACACACACACACTCTCTCACACTCACACACACATTCACACTCACACTCACACTCACACTCACACACAAACAAACAACGCCTGTCCCATGCATGAGCTCACCCCCTGCAGTTCCTCTGCGCGCTTGCGGAGCTCCCATGCGTGCTCGGCAATGACGTCGCTGGCGAGGTTGGAGGTCATGACGAAGATGGCGTCCTTGCAGTCAATCGTCTTGCCCTGCCCGTCCGTCAGCCGGCCCTCGTCAAACAGCTGCAGCGGTCACGTGATGGTGCCGCGATGGTGGTGAGCCATTGGTGGTGGTGGTGATTTGTGGTGATGAGAGAGCTTTCTGCACTTGCTGTAACACGTTGTTTGCCATGCATACACATGTACACAAATAGACACACACGCAAGCACACACGCAAGCACACGCGCAAGCACACGCGCAAGCACACATGTGCACGTGTACACCCCCCCCCCCCGGGTCTCATCGGGTGCGCACCTGGAGCATGACAGTGAGCACATCCGGATGCGCCTTCTCCACTTCGTCGAGGAGAACAACAGCGTTTGGACACGATTTGAGCATCTTCGTCAGCTGTCCACCCTCGTCGTGCCCAACGTACCCCGGCGGTGCGCCAATCAGCTTCGCAGCCTCGTGCTTTTCCTGGTACTCCGTCATGTCTGTGCACCGCGGTTGCGTTTGGCACGTCGGGTGAGTGGACTTGAAGAATTGAGCATGTGAACATATAAGGATGATGGGGCCGTGGGGCAGTGGACAGTGGACAGTACAACACACACACACACACACACACACACACACACACACACACACACACACACACACACACACACACACACACACACACACACACACACACACACACACACACACACACACGTACACAGCAAAGTGAGAACAGACAGCCCATCCCCCATGCTCACCGAGTCTGATGAATCCCTTTGAGCGGTTGCTGGTTGCCTTCTCGTCGTGGTGGATGTACTGCGCCAGGCGCTTTGCAAGCTCCGTCTTGCCGACACCAGAGGATCCGAGGAACAGAAACACAAGCGGGTGGTCTTCGTCGTGCCAGCCGTTCTCTCGGCTGACGGCGGAGGGGAAAGGGAGACAGAAAAGGGTGAGAAGGAGGAAGAGAGGGTGAGTGGGTGAGTATGAGTGTGTGTGTGTGTGAGAGAGAGAGGGGTGCGTTAGACGTGGCGCGCAGCATGACAGATAGGCATCAACATGAAGCATACGCTGCAGAAATACGCACAATCACACACATCATATCCCGTACACATATATAATATACCGTACACATATAATATACCGTACACACACACACACATAATCACACACACACACACACACAGACACACACACACACACACACACACCACATCACATTTGACGCACCGTCGAACAGCGGCTGCCACGGCCATGATGGGCCCGTCCTGGCCAACAACATATTGGTGGAGCCGCTCTTCAAGCGGGAACTCGCGCCGCCGCCGTTTGGCTTCTTCGGCCCTTTCTTCCGCTTCCCGTCGCTCCCTCTCCTCCTTGAGGGCCGCGTGCTCCTCCATGTACGCACGCAGGCGCCGCTTGATGTGCTCGTTGTCGGTGTATTCGATGGCGGTGCACTCGTTGTGGTCCTTGATGTTGGGGTCAGCGCTGTGGTGGATGAGGAGCTCCACAAGCTCGGCGCTGTCCACCAGCGCGGCGTAGTGCAGCGCCGTCATGCCGACCGTGGACATGTGCGGATACAGACGCGAGGAGAAGTCCCGCTGTGTTTCAGTCGCGCGGTGGTTGATTTGGGGTTGGTTGAGCGATGTGGTACGGTGTGAGATAAACGTGCATGCGTGAGACATGGGGGGGGGGCACTGCGACAGCCAACGGTTGCAAGCACACACACACACACGCACACACACCTGGCGCTGAATGATAGCTGCACGAGACATGTTGGGGAAGTACTCGTCCTCAAGGTCCACAGATGCACCATGCTCCAGCAGCACCCGACACGCGTCAACGTTGCCGTTCACAGCAGCTGGCATGACACACAGAAGAGTGTGAGTGTGAGAGAGAGAGAGAGAGAGAGAGAGAGAGAGTGTGTGTGTGTGTGTGTGTGTGTGTGTGTGTGTGTGTGTGTGTGGGCGCATATTGCGTGGGCAACGAACACTACAGCTCACGAATGCGCAAGCCAGAGTCAGCGGACAAGATGTCGCGGTGTTGACTCACCAACATGCAAGGCAGTCCATCCAAGCTGGTGCCTGTCGTCAACATCTGCGCCTTGTTGAAGCAACTACAGACACGCATGGGAGTGCAACGCCTTGGTGAGTTGACGCACAGCTGTGCAGCAACCAGAAGCATCACAGCACATGCACATGCACATGTACCACAATGCACGTACACAAGCATACACGCACCACACATGCAGACACACGCACACATGCACATGCACACATACACGCACGCAAAGCACACCTTCTCCAGTGCTTGTGTGTCGTTGAATTGAGCGGCTTTGCACAACAGTGGGGCATTTGTCTGCCTGCACTGCACGGCACCTTCGTTGGAATCCCCGAACAAGGACCAGCCGAGAACACCAACAGCAGTGCTTGCAACAGCGCCCCACGCTGCTGCCTTCCGACTGTTCTGGACCAGTGCCAGCGGTGCCTTCAGCACACCTGCACCTGCACCTGCCCTCGTCGACATTGTCATCGCCGTTGGTGTCGACAACACGCGAAGCCGTGCGACTTCGTGCGCCCGTGCCGGCCCTCGCCGCAACACCGCACTCACGGCTGTCGTTGTGGCCGCAACAGCCGCTCGCACACCCTTCATCATTGTCATCATCGTCATCATCGTCGTTGTTGTTGCGCGAAATTGCGCGTTCAAACTTTCCCGCACCTTCTCTTTGAACTCTGTGTGTGTGTGTGTGTGCGTGTGTGTGTGTGTGTGTGTGTGTGTGTGTGTGTGTGTGTGTGTGTGTGTGTGTGTGTGTGTGTGTGTCGATACTTGCTCTTGTTTGTTAGCTCACGCCAAGGCCCCCCTCTCCCACCTCTCCAACCCACCACTACAGACCCCCTTCCCTCCACACCTCCTGCTTCTTCTTCCACCGTTTACTGCGCTTGACTACAAAACACGCCATGCTGTGCAACAGGTTTGGTTCAATTAACACGGGAAACAATCAGACAAGTGAGAGAGAGAGAGAGGTGGTGATGCAACAAACAAGGAGGCACTTTGCAAAAGGTGATGGGTGAGGAGAGGAGCCACCACGGCTACGCCACGTGTGCACAGGCCGTGTCAAACGTTGCTGCCAACTCTGCAGCAAAGTCCAACACGACACCATTCGTCCATCCGAAGCCTGACATGGCAAGTGTGTGCGTGTGTGTGTGTGTGTGTTAGTGAGCGAGTGAGTGGATGTGCGGGTGGGTGCATGCGGATGATTGTTACACAGAATGAGCGTGTGTGTGTGTGTGTGTGTGTGTGTGTGTGTGTGTGTGTGTGTGTGTGTGTGTGTGTGTGTGTGTGTGTGTGTGTGCTTCACACGCATCATGGTTTCACGGGGCCTGCAGCAGTACATGTAGTACATCGTACCCAGTTGTGGCTTGTACTCGCCACCTCCGCCCCCTTTGCCCACAACAACAGCGTCGTACTTCTCATACATGTGCCCTGCAATGCCACAAAGACCAGAGGTTGAAGCGTGAATGACAACACAAAACACACAGGCAGTGGCGTCAGCACAACCTGCTTCACTCCTTAAACTCATATCAGCACACACACACACATGCATACAAGCACATATGCACACATACACACACACACATGCACACACATGTACAGCTTATGTACATGCATGCACAACGAATGTACACGCATGCACTCACACATACAAGCACGCGTGCGCACACCATGACCAGCTGCATGCAGCGACCTGAGTTATGATACGCAATCATGGCAGTCTTGAGCCACTTGCACTTGATGGACGTGGCGAGCTTGGTTGCGTCGCTCGTGTGTACGGATTCGAGCGATCGCACCAGCAGCCACTGCAGCGGCGCCCACGCGTTCGGGCTGTCCCACTGGCAGCAGGTGAAGAGGTGTGTATGTGTGTGTGAGTGTGTGTGTGAGAGTGTGTGTGTGTGTGTCGGGAACAGGTGCGGAGAAGCAGTAAGGCAAGTGTGTGCAGCGAGGATGCGTGAAAAGCAGCTTGAATGGAATCAGTGTGTTGAAATGATGGGCTTGCTGAGACCTCACACACACACGCGCGCACACACACCACAACACACAACACACACACACACACACACACACACACACACACACACACACACACACACACACACACACACACACACACACACACACACACACACACAAGCAACACTCAAGGAATGACAGGCGTGTACAGATATGCCCATCGTCATGACGCTGCACGGCACGGCACCTGCTGTCCCGTCGTGGAGAGGGTGGTGTCCACCGCCGCGTGCTTCAGCAAACGTGATTGCGTCAGGGACTCCACCAGACGCATGTGTAGCTCCTGCCATGCACACGCAATCACGCCATCACGCAATCACGAGCCAATCAATGTGAGGTCAAACGTGGTGAGGGGTTTAAAGCGTACGTGTTAACACACACGCACACACACACACACACACACACACACACACACACACACACACACACACACACACACACACACACACACACACACACACACACACACACACACACACACACACACACAAACATAACTACACTCGCCCGGTACGCACCTGGCTCGGAGAGACGCCGGCCCACAGCGGCAAATACGCGGCAGGCGTGACGCGGCCCTGGATCTGCGGTGGCGACAGCAGCAATGGTGTTGCCGTGATGTCAGCAATGGAGATGGCGAATACACACGACACCAACTTGCACCAGAAGAGAGGCAACCGCGGACAATGTATGTGCACAGAAGGCATGCACACACAAACACACAAACGCACACACACACACACAAACACAAACACACACAAACACACACACACAAACACAAACACACACAAACACACACAAACACACACAAACACACACACACACGCACACACACGCGCCGAGCACCTGGTCGCCGTTTGGGAGGAGGATGTCGTGGAAGCGGCCGGTGGTCTCGTTGTACATGAGGTCCAGCATCGCCCGCGCCCGCGCATCCGCAGAGCGCGATAGCGTCGACGCCTTGCCACGGTCGCCGGCTGGGCACGCAGTGGGGAGTGGTGGTGGGAGTGGTGGTGGTGATGGCGATGATGATGATGGTGGTGGGCAAGATGGTGTGAGTGAGGCCTGGTAGTAACACATGCGGCACGGGGTGGCACGCCGAATCAAAGGCACAACACAACCCACACATACACACACGCTCACACGCACAACCGTGCACATGCACACGCACACACGTTTGCACACGTTTGCACACGGGGGGGGGGCGACGGTACCGAGTGTGGCGATGGAGGCGAGGTGGCGTTCGAAGCGGAGCATGAAGCAGTTGAGGTCGACGGGGACGATGTTGGTGGTGCGGATGGTGCTCAGGTCTGACGCGTCCTTCAGCCACCGCGAACTGAAATCCCACCCTACAATTGGGGAGGGGGGTTGTCGCCAACACCACGAGCATGGTTGTGAGGGGTGGTGTGGTTGGTGCAGCATGTGAAGCGCATGCATGTTGAGGCAGTAAGACAAGAACAAACTCGTACACACACTCATCCACACACATACGCGCGCACACACAAACGCACACACACGCACACGCACGCACACACACGTGGACGCAGGCAGGCAGGCACGAGCGCACTTCCGTGTTCTGACCTGTCTCGGCGCCCGACGCAATGTTGCGGAAGAAGATCTGCCGCTGCTGCTCATCAAACCCTGAAATAAAACATGTGGACAGATGCAAGCCGTAAGCAACACACGCACAGCGCACACACGCAAACACAAACACAAACACAAACACAAACACACGTGCACACATACACAGCACGCACACAGCACGCACACCTCAAGCCATGCACACACACACACACACGCAATCCGCAGCCACGCCCAAGAGCCCCACCTGCGACGTTTGCTGTGTTTTCGTCCTCCCTGTACGACTCGGGCCGCGGGGATTGCGTATCGGCGTAGTATCGCGTGAGTGGCGCCGCCGTCAGCCCAAGACCTGAGCATGAACAGGCAAGGCAGATGGTGACAAGGGAGTCGATATGTGAGTGCGTGCGTGTGTGCGTGTGTGCGTGTGTGTGTGCTTATGTGTGTGTGTGTGTGCATGTGTGTGCGTGTGTGTGTGTGCATTTGTGTGTGCATGTGTGTGCGTGTGTGTGCGTGTGTGTGCGTGATCTGTGTTGTCTGTATGATCACCACCATGGCTCTGTGACTACGGACCAGAAAGACATGCACGCACATGCGCGTTTGCACACACACACATGCACATATGCACTGACCGATGTTGACTCTCTTGTGCGTGGTTGTTGAATTCCAGTACTTGTACTCCTTGCTGAGATATGGGTAGGCCTCCAGCAGAAACGTGCTGTTGCCTGGCGTGTGGACGAAATCCGGACATCACACGGAGAGTGGCGGATGTTATGTGTGTGTGTGTGTGTGTGTGTGTGTGTGTGTGTGTGTGTGTGTAGGAGAGTGGCGGCCATACATTGGGGAGCAGGGTGGGTTGCGAGCATCGTGGGTGTAGAATGCATGCAAGAAGATGACGCGTGAGAGACGACACAACAGTGCATGCACATGCATGTGCACACGCACCAGTTGCGTTGTAGATTGACATGACAATTTCGTTGAGGACGGGCGGCTGGCTGCGAGTGAGATAATACACGCGCGCCCCGTTGGGAACAAACCCAAACCTGAACAGCACGGAAGCCAATCATCGGGTGTGACATCGGTGAATGAGATGGAAATATAAACGAGGTGGAAATGTCAACAAGATGGAAATGCGAACGCAACACACAAAACAAGGGACAGGTAGGCAGACAAAAGCACAGACAAAAGCGCGCACACACACACACACACACACAAAACCATACACCAACACGCCATGCAAATACACACACACACACACACAAAACCATGTACCAACACGCCATGCAAATACACACACGCAAAACCACGCACACGCACGCCCGACCTGTCAATGAGGCTGAAGTAGTTGCGCGTGATGTCGATGGCGGTTGCAACCATGCCGCTGCGAATCAGTCCGCGCACAACCCAGAACATGTCCCAGTAGTACATCTCCCTAAACCGGCCACCGGGCACAATGTACGGATTGGGCAGCTCAAGCAGGCTGTGCTGCGAAGGCGACGCAGACACGCTGCGACAGCGAGGTGACGTGTGGTGGTGGCGGTGGTGACATTGGTGTTCATAATGTGCGGTGGTTTCAAGTGAGCATCGGAGCAAACAAACGGCCAAACCGCGAATACACAACGAAACGAACACCCACATGAACCAATGACCACACAGACTAACAGCCAAACAAACAACCAGCAGCCAAAGCGAACGAGAGCAGCGTCACACCTTGCGTTGGTCTTGCGGCCAAGCAGGGGCCAGATCTCGTGCACGTGCTGGATCCATTCTCGCAGGGTGGTGTTGGCAATGCGATGCGCAAACGGCACTTTGGCGGGAAAATCGGGCGGGGTCCACGAGCTCTGGTCGCTGCCTGCAGGCAAGAAGTATGTGTCCAGAAACGACTCCAGCGCATTCCGCGTCAATCCTGATAATATTGCACACGTGAGCAAGGGACGGTGTGAGTGGATGAGTTGTTTGAGAGGGGGGGGGGGCGGGGTTGCCAGGGTGTTGTTTGATTGAGACGAAACCTGTACACATATTCACATATGTGTGTGTGCGAGTGTGTGTGTGTGTGTGTGTGTGCGAGTGTGTATGTGTATGCGAGTGTGTGTGTGTGCGAGTCTGTATGTGTGTGCACGTGTGCGCGAGTGTACGAGTCAACCCGAGTGCTGACTGACAGGCTGTGGCATTGCATGAGTTGACATGTGTCAGACATGATGAATCCACCACAGCAAACACATTGATGCCATCATACCTGGTTCGATCTGTTTGAATGCTTTCAAGACGTCCAAAGGGCTGAAGATGCAAACAGGAGAGAAGCGCGGTGTTGCGAGAGAGGACGAGGGAGGTGGGAGATGAAGGAACATGCAGCGAGGCAGATTCAACACGTGTTTCCAACACACAACACACACAATACACACAACACACACGCAACGCAGGACAAACACGACACGCAACATGGCACACGCAACATGGCACGCACCATGCTACAAACGTACTCTTGCTTCATAGGCATGTCCACGAAGGTCTTGGAGTCAGCGTAGGGGGAGAAGCGTGCGACGGCGGCCAATATGGGCCCTGTGCAGTACACGCGACATGCGCGATCCTGTGCGGTGATCTCCTTGTTGGACTTAACGACCACCGCTGCAACGACGATAGCAATGGCCATGAGAAGCAGCATCCAGATGATCAGCTCCACCCTCCACTTGTGCGTCAACCTCCACACCTTGTCCAAACACGTCTTCACACGAGAGGTTGTGTGTGTGTGTGTGTTTGTGTGTGAGTGAGTGAGTGTGTGTGTGTGGATGGGTGAATGGGTGAATGGGTGGATGGGTGGATGGGTGAATGGGTGGATGGGTGGATGGGTGGATGGGTGGATGGGTGGATGGGTGGATGGGTGGATGGGTGGATGGGTGGGTGTGGGCGTGGGTGTGGAAGGTGCACGAATGATTGTGTGGTGAGAGATTGTGGCCAGAAGCTGACAACACCGACCACGGGCCGGACACGGAACACAGCACACAAGGTCGCCAAACGGCACACAGGCAGACGCATGCACAGATATATGCATACACTCGTACAACCATGCGTTGCTCTCGCGGTCTTTCCGACACACTCCTCCAACTCACGGACTCCTCGCACCCTTCTCGCTCCTTTGTGAAGACCGACCGATTCTTGTTGTGAAGAGCCCGTGGAGATGGAGAGTGGTGAAGGTGGGGGGCGGCGTTTGCTGCGGGCCGAAGAAGCGTTGAACGGAGACCCTCGCTGCAGCAAAGGCCGGTTGGCTGCCTCATCATGATCGTCATCGTCTGTGTCGTCGCCATAATCCGGCAGCCTGCTGTGATGGTGCACGGGCACGGCGCTCCTTGCTGAGGAGGACGCCTTGGATGTCCTTGGAGAACGGACTGTCACTTCCCTCGCCGCGGCATCGGGCGAGGGCGGTCCATGGCCCTCATCTGCCCACCTCACACCAGCACCAGCATGATCAGCACCAGCGCCATCGTCATCTGGCCACGGCACGGGCCGGTCCACCCCAACATGCATCACAACATCATCAGCGTCAGCAGCGTGGTGGAGGTGCTCCATGTTGGTGTCACAGTCAACAGGCTGGCTGAAGCAATATGCACGCACGACACCACAAATTGCACAGAACAACACCTCTGCCGCCAACAACACCGACCGAACATCATGGAGCGTGCCGTGTTGGATGTGAGCGAGCCAGCGATCCAGGAGCTGGTGCAGCAGGCTGAAGTTGCTGCGCGGGACGAGAGCATCGCGTGCACGCCGTCAGATAGCCTGTTCCTTCAAGCGAATGGAAGAGTGGATGAGCGCAACACTGCGCAGGCGTTTCACAACGCCGTTCTCGCAGACCGATTCATCATCACAGACTACATCCAGAGCGGCCAGTTTGGGCGAGGTGTGTGTGTGTGTGTGTGCAGATGTGTGTGTTTGTGTGCAGATGTGTGTGTGTGTGTGTGTGCAGATGTGTGTGTGTGTGTGAAAGTGAGTGCCTCGTTTGCGTTTTCATCAATCGACACGCAAGTGGCATGATACCTTGTTGACAACACACACACACACACTCACACACACACACTCACACACACACACACACACACACACACACACAGGCTGGAGAGCGAAGGATCGGGCACACCCGGAGAGTCCGGAGGTGTTCATCAAGACCATTCGCTCCCAGAGCGACCGCTTGGGAAGTGGTGCTGCCATTAACCACCAGACACACGAGCGCTTGGCAAGAAAGGAGATTGAGGTACGCCAACATGTGCCGTATTTTGTTATGGGCATGTTTAAGTGTTTCAAACGGCTCCTGCTTCCGGCGCCTCCTCGACCCCTACAGCTTCACACTCACACACTCACTCATGCACTCACTCACACACACACACACTCACTCACACACACACACACACACACTCTCTCTCTATCTCTCTCCTCACTCATTTCCAGGTCTTTCTTGAGCGTGGATTTGGTCGCTTGGGAGCGCACCCAAACATCGTGACAACTGTCCTGTGCTACGGCTCTGTGGCCGTGCCCAGCAACGGCGCTACGGGCAACGCCTTCTTCTTCCTCTCCCCAGACCTGTGCAATGGCGGCGAGCTCTTCGAGTACCTCTGCTTCCAGGTGTGCAGGCAGACGTGTGATTCCCCTCAGTGGTATCTGGCACTGTTGCCACCGTCGTCAGTTGCAACCGCCACAAACAGACCATCTGACGCTGTCGTTGCAACCATCTCACTGGTGTGCATGTGCTTGCCTGCCCCTTGTTTGCTTGCCTTGGTGGTTTCTGTAGCGACGCGAGCCGCCGTTTGTTCGCAACTTTGAAGAAAAAACCGCCCGCCGCCTCTTCTCCCAGCTCGTCGCAGGGTACGCGCAGGCAGTGCTCTTATTGTGGGTGTGTCTCTATGTGTGTGTGGGTGTGCTTGTGTACGTGTGTCTATATGTGTGTGTGTGTGTGTCTGTGTGTCTGTGTGTGTGTGTGTTTGTTCGTGCTTGCATTTTGCTCTCTCTCTTTTATTCGTGCGATTTGCGGCTGTGCTTCGACACCCCTTGTGATCGTAACCACCGCACCTCACTTCCTGCATGCACACATGTACACACCCGCTCCCCCCCCCCGTGCGCAGTGTTCAGCACCTGCACCACAGCGGCCTTTTCCACCGCGATCTCAAGCTCGAGAACCTCGTCCTCGACTCGAGATTCGTCCTCAAAATCACAGTCAGTCGTGACGTGTGTGTGTGTGTGTGTGTGTGTGTGTGTGTGTGTGTGTGTGTGTGTGTGTATACATGTGTGTATACATGTGTGTGTCTGTGTGTGTGTGTGTGTGTGTGTATGTAATGCTTTGGTGGAGATATCCACCACCATCCCGCCACCATCTCGCCACCATCCCGCGTCCCACCATCTTTGTTGTGCACACCACTGCATGTGCACAGGATTTTGGGACAGCCAAATGGGCACACGAGTGTCCGACAGTGACAGATGCAGCAGGACAGCAGCACGTCGTTGCTCGCACCGTCACAGGCACCCTCGCCTTCCACGTATGTTCATGTGTGTGTGTGTGTGTGTGTGTGTGTGTGTGTGTGTGTGTGTTGCGTGGTGCTTCTGCTACTTGCACTATTACCTCACCGCGCACATGTGTGCACGTGCGCATGAGTATGTGCTCACCTCCTTTTTCCCCACCACTGCCTCCATATCCTCCGCTTGTGTCTCAGCCGCCGGAACTGCGCCGCAGCGGTGCATTCTACCAGCCAGACAAGTTCGACGTGTGGTGCGTCATGATGTGACACATCTGCCATGAAATCACGCGCACGCGCATCTACGGAGAGATAGTGTGTGTGTGTGTGTGTGTGTGTGTGTGTGTGTCTGTCTGTCTGTCTGTCTGTCTGTCTGTGATTAAGGTTTGTCCACATCATCATCGTCGTTGTCGTCGTCATCATCGTCAGCTGCACCTTACGCATCCATGCCGTTACCCGTCCGCTTGCATGCGCACGTTGGTTCAGGTGCTGCGGGGCGATTCTGTTCTTCCTCGTTGCGATGGAGACGATGGTGCGGCGGCGCATCAACTTCAACGTGTTCCAGCTCATCAAGCAACGCGCACAGGGCTACGGCGACCTCCTCAAGTCGTGAGTGGACCGCGCGAACTGCCCCACGCTGCCATCCTGATGGCTGGATTTGGGATGGGAAGGGGTGCGAGGGTGACTGTGCACTGCTCCTGCGTGTCATGGGAAGAGTGAGGGGAGTGAGGTGACGGTTTGCCCAACTGGGGTGCAGGGCGAATGGCTGATGGTTGAAAGTTGCGCTTGGTGGAGGGGGGGGGGTACTTTTATCGCGTTTTTGATTCACTCGAGACACCATACATGCTCTTGTGCGCGCACACACACGCACGTACGCAACCCTTGATCATCACCCATGCATGTTTCTCGCACTTCTATGTGATTCACATGCACACGCTGCTCGCTCCTTCTTTGGTTGCGTGACCCTGTAGTGAACCTCGTGGTCCCGACGGTGTGCCCCAAAACGTTCGGTTTTGGGTGACGTTTCAGGAAGTGGCACAGAGCATTACGCCACAACTGCAGCACCTCCTCAACTCCATCTTTGACATCAACGTCCCCAAACGCGCTTCCATCGATGGTTTGTATTGACTGTGGTGGGAGTGTGGATATGTGTGTGTGCGTGCGTGCGTGCGTGTGTGTGTGTGCGTGTGTGTGTACATGTGTGTGTGCGTGTACATGTGTGTGTGTGTGCGTGTGCGTGTGCGTGTGCGTGTGTAGTCATGACGACACCACAGGTGCCGCGGCTATTATGTTGGCACATTTCTAGTGCGTCACGTTGCTCACTGTGGCTTCGTTGCGTTCGCTTGCCGCTGAGCAGCTGTTGCTGCGCACGGGTGGTTGCAGGGCGAGATGGCCACAGATGAGGAGTACTTCCAGGACATGCAGAGCCGTCCAACCACGTGAGGCTTTTGCGTTGTGATTGCACATGCGTTGCCTTACGTGCTGCGTTATGCCAGCCACATACACGCACCCGCACGCACACGCACGCACTCGGTTCCACTCACTTATCCGCACACTCCAACGGCCGTACACCTCATCACTCCCTTCCCCCTTCCCTCTCTGTCCTCCTCCTCGTCGTCCGTGCGCGCTGTAGGGCCACGGGACGCGACCGGGTGCTGGACCTGCCGGAACATCTGCACGGCGACACCGCACAGGCCCTCGACGCCGTTGGTGCGTGGGCTGGCAGTGCTGCTGCTGGCGATTGTGATGGTGGTGATGGCTGTTATGGTGCCTCGGTTGGTCATCCACCCCCAATTATGTGCGTGTGTGCGGTTGGTTACGCTGTTCCTTCGCTGGGTCTCCGGCTGGCCCTGTCGCTCAACCAAATCTGTGCATTTCCATCCACAAACATGAAAATGTTCCCCTCCCCCTCTTCTCCTTGTGGTTGGGACTGCTGCAGAGCAATACCTTGAGCGCACGCTTGACCTGGTGCTGCCAGACAACGACGAGAAGTCCCTGCTCCGCGATGGCGCCACGTTTCTCCTGGGCACCCCAAACCTCTTTTCCGTGGAGTTTACAGGCACCGCCCTCAGGTACACGTGTGTGTGTGTGTGTGTGTATGTGTGTGTGTGTGTGTGTGTGTGTGTGTGCGGCTGTATGTGTGTGTGTGTGTGTCCTGTATTTCTCTTTCTAGATGCCTATGTGAGTGTGTATGTGTGTTTGGCTACGTCATCCTCTGTTGCGTGTCGTTGTGTGCAAGAATTTGACCACAGCCTGCTTGACGTCCTTCCCCGCCCCACTCCCGCCCCACTCACCCGCCTTTTCCGCAGATGCGTGTGGCTTCGCGGGTCGCTGGAGGACTGGCTGGGCTTCGTGTTCGGTAAGCGCTCCCTTTCAACCTTTCGAGAGCCAACATTTGCTCAGCCGTCGCTCTCGTGCCACAGCGGCCTTGGCTTGCATGTATCCAGCCTACCCCTCTTTGTTTTCCTCGCTCTCGGTCCTTCTCCTGCCAGGCTCACACGCGTTTCATCCTGCCTGTGTAACTGATTTGCAGAGCTCAAAGCCCAGCTGCAGCTGTTGTAGTCTGCTCCTTGCTGAGCAGTGATGTGACTGTCTTTGGCGAATTGATTCCTCTTGCCTCGCAGTCGTGTTACGTTACATTGCATTGCACCACTTGTGTCTCCATTGCCAGCCGCCACCAATGCTGCGCATCCCTCGGCCTCACTCAGGCATCGAACATTCTGCGATTTCATGCGTCGCCTTTTTGTTGTTGTCCCTTGATGACATCATGCGAGCCCCGAATGTAGCCACCCGTTCAGTCACGATAAATTGTCAAATCTTCATTTGGTTTGAGAAAGCTGTATTTCATCGTCCTACCTGCCTGCCAAATGTTGCCAACCCCTTGTTCTGCACGTTGTGGGACATTCTGCATGCCACTCACTTGTCACTGCACTGTGACTATCTCCAGTTACAAGGCATGCTTTCTTCGGAGCTGGATTGTTGACCCCACTCCATCCTCAGTTGCAAAACCATGATCGCCCAGAGTAGCTGGACACCGGTAGTGTTGGTTGTGGCGCTGGCGGCAATATGCTGTCATGTGGTGCGCGGTGCAGAGCGCAAGGAGGTGTACACCGTGGGTGTGCTTAACAACAAAGGTCTGTAGTGAGTGATAGGCGCAGCAGCTATGCACATGCGATTTCTAGGCAAAAAGATGAGCGAGGTGCAATGTACTCGTGGTGGCGCTGTAATCGAGGGACGGGAAGTGCGCACAAGATGCAGCGTGTTGGTGTGACTGCCTGAGCGCACCATGCAAGTTGACCGTCGTCACATCACATCACACCACCCCTCCTTTCCTGTCACAGGGGTAGACTACTTTGAGGAGCACTTCAAGGAAGGGTTTTCGACATACCTGACCAACACAGCCGGTCGCACGTTCAACCCGCCCGTGACATTCAACGCCATCCCTGTCGCCTTCTCGGACTTTGTGAACAGCGTGTCCAAGGGCGAGCTGGACTTTACGTACTGCAACCCAACGCTTTTCAGCTGCATTGAATCTGGCGAGGAGATGGCGCCGCTTCTCACCGTGCGCAATTTCCGATTAGGTGTGTGCGCGTGTGTTGTGCTGTGTGTGTGTGTGTGTGTGTGTGTGTGTGTGTGTGTGTGTGTGTGTCTGGATCGTGTGCGTCTGCGTCCGCAATGCCGTGCAGTGCCACTTGTAGCTCAAGGCTCCGTAACCACGGCCACCAACCACCAACCTGCGCTGCTGTAAACGGTCGAAAGTGTGTCGCTGTCATCTCTGGTGCCGTGTTTCCTCACCACATCCATGCTGTCCCCCCTCGCCACGTGGAACAATGACAGGCCACGAGCTGACGGTGTTTGCTGGCGTCATATTCACTGCTGCCAGCCGAGATGACATCAACACGCTGGAAGATGTCAGGGGCAAGCGGCTCTCCGGTGTATCCATGACGAGCTTGGGCGGCTTCCAGATGCAATATGGCATGCTTCACGTCGCTGGAATCGAGCTCATGACTGACTTTGCAATGGTAAGAGCAAAGGCTTCCTTCACATGCTTTACTCGAGTTTGTCCTGCTTGATCTTCACAGCGCACGCGCGATCGCTCTGGTCGCACCTTGTACACGGCGAGCACCGTGCACATGCAACCAACTTGTTTCCGTTTGCACACACATGCATACACACACGCACGCACACATACACATACACACGCACGCACACAAATATGCACGCACACACGCACGCGCGCTTCTGCTGGCATTCAGGTGGCGTTCAGTTCAAATCACAGGCAAACGGTGCACGACGTCTTGGAAGGTGCGGCAGACATTGGCTTCGTGCGCACGGACACCATCGAAGGTAAGCGAAATGGGTGTGGCCGCACCGCTTGCACAATCCTACAATCACCGAGACACCCTCCGTCACCACACCGCATGCATGCAACAGCTGCGCACACTGCGCACCCTTTCTGCGCCAACAACACCTTGCTTCAACATCACCACATGGTCAGAATCCATACCCATTCAACATCGCCACCTCCTCCTCATAAACACGCGTGGATCTGCGCGTCATACAGGCATGATTGCCAGCGGTGCGATTGAGGCAGACTCTTTAAAGGTGCTCAACGCGCGCGAATCGCTGACACCGGAAGGAACAAAGTTTCCATTTGTCCACTCCACCCCACTTTACCCAGAATGGCCATTTGGCGCACACCCAAGTGTGGACTGGCAGGTGTGTGCGTACACATGCACGTGCGTACCTTGAGGGCCGCTGCCACCAGTGTCACCGCGCAGGCTGCAGCGTGGACCCCGCCTTCCCCTGTTTCATGGGACTGTTCATTCCCACCACCACCACCACCACCACCACCACCACCACCACCACCACAACTCACACTGCTTTCGACACGATGACTGCGTTCACTACGGCTCTCCACCATCGCCACGACGATACGAACAACCTGACGCAAGCACCATTTCTCACCTGAGCCAACAACAACCTACTTCTGTTCCTGTCCCGCTTCCCACTTCAGGTGCAGGAGGCGGTGATGAAAGCCCTGCAGAGCCTGAATGCCTCCAGCCCAACAAGCGTGCAGGGCCAGTATGCAGAGTGGCAGCCTGGCTTCAGCTACATCTCCTTGCGTAACCTCCAGGTATGTACACGACACAGAGAACAGAAGATGAAAAGGGGGCAGATAGTCTGTCTCGTACCCGTGTGTGCATGTGTATCTGCTGTGTGCATGTGTGGACCTCTGCATGTGTGTTTCTCTGTGTGTGCGTGTACCTGTGTGTGTGTGCGTGTAACTGTGCGTGTGTGTGTGTAACTGCGCGTTTGTACGGCTCAGTGTGCGAGTGATTGAGTGTACATCCGTGTGTATGTGTGTTCGTTGCAATTGCTCCCTGGAGGCAGGCGTATGTGGGAGACAAAACCACATGCAACATGTTCAGTCATGCGGTTTTGGTTCCCACCACCTTCTCTAGCACCACCACCGACAGCACCAAACCTTCCCTTCCTCCCCCCCCCCCAAATCACATACAACATCCACTCATGTCACTTCAATTCACCCGCACATGACCACACGAATGACAACAAACACAAACAGGAGGAGCTGGGGCTACTAGAGGAAACAAGCACTGGCCGATTCGAGTGCAGGCAAGGAGAGGATTTGTACAGCAGTCTCGTTTGCCCAGTTGGGTTTGTGCTCAAGTCGCGCGAAGAGTTTGACACCGCGTGCGAGGAAGCAGGCATCGCATGTCCCACGGAGGACCACAGTTGTTTCTGCTCCCCGTGCAAGCCAGCATGCCCACACCACTCATCACTGGTCAACGGGAGGTGCACGTGTGGCAGCGGGTATGTTCGGTTTGCCGGCGGTTGCGAGCGCCTCAGCACAGCACTTGCAGCCACAGTTGTCCCTGTTCTCGTTGTGCTCGTTGCCGGCGTGTACCTCCTGATACAGTACCTCCACCGCAGATCAGACAACCTGTGGCACATCAACCCGGTCGAGCTCAAGTTTGAGGACCCGCCGGAGTGTCTTGGCAGCGGCAGCTTTGGCATTGTGCTCAAGGCCGAATACCGGGGCACGATGGTGGCCGTGAAGCGTGTGCTGCCGCCAATGACGCGACGCAAGGTGCGCGTACGCGCTGACGAGGAGCATCTCACGCTCTTGGAGCAGCTTGAGCTGAGGCAGAAGGAGAAGAAGTCCATTGGCGAGCAGATGGAACAGTATTTCCAGGAGGCTGCGTACGCTGCAGGCATGCTCGTCGGCGGCGCCAACGGCGAGAGTAACCACAGCAGCATCGGCGGCAGCCTTGCCAGTGGCCGTTCCGGTGCCAGTGGCAGCAAGTAAGTCGGGCCAACAACGAGCCGTGAGGCCGATGTGTGCACGTGTGTGTTGCATGAGACAGATAGGGGGTGGGGGCATACTTGTGTTACAGCCAGAGCGTGTTTCTGCATGCACATGGCTTGCTGAACATGTCAATGTGGGGATCATTGTCTTGCTCACGCCAGCGTCATGGCACACACAACACAACACAACACAACACAACACAACACGACACGACACAACACGACACGACACGACACGACACAACACAACGATGTTGTGCGGTGCACTTTTCATGGATGAACATCAGATCGTCCCGGAAGTCACTGCGGTCCAAGGGCAGTTCAGGTCTGCGGCGGCGGAAACAGCTCTTGGAACTCAAGTGCGTGGTCAATGTACACCATATGCGTGCGCGTGTGCGTGTTGCGACAGCGTGTGTGTGCTGTGTGATTGCATGTGTCGAGATTGCATGCAAGTTGTTCCTGTATTGCACTTGAACCCTGATACCTTTTCATCAATTCCTCCCATCCATCGTCTGTGCTGTCAGGAGATCTTTTATGAAGGAAATGCGAACGCTAAGCAAGCTGAGGCACCCATGCGTCACAACGGTACGCAGAGCGCACGCGAGAGCAACACGCCCGGCCCGTGCCACGCCTGGTTCTGTTTCTGTGAGCGAGCCTTTGAGCGATTGATGCGCTGACAGCCACCACAATGGTGATAACACACGCATACACTCAAGTACACACGCATACACACATGTAGACATACATATATGTTTATGTATGTGCATATGATTATTTTTACACGCGTGCACACGTACGTACACACGTACGTGCACACACGTACACACGTACAAGCATACATACGCGCATGGCTGCCACTAGGCCACTGGGTTTATTACGGTCGCTTAGCATTATGGCACTGTCATCACCTCTGCACTGCATGCCTTGGTCTGCTTTGGCTTGCCATCATGTGCAGTTTATCGGAGGCGTGGTCGAGTCGTCGTGTGACCCGATGATAGTGATGGAGTTTATGGACCTTGGTTCCCTCTACTCGATTCTACACAACGAAACAACGGAGGTGGACGGCGACGTGCGATACGAGCTGGTGAGCTCGTCGAAAGCGCAAAGACTAAAAGCGCCCTGTGTGCGCGTGCGTTTATTGTGTGTGTGCGTATGTGTGTGTGCGTCCATTGTGTGCGTATTTGTGTTAGTTGTGTGCATGTGTGGGTCCGGCGGCAGCGAGCTGCGCGTATTCACATCAACACGGCAGCTCTTTGCCTTACACTGTTGCATGCACTCCTTCATCCCGTCTTTGCTGATGTGCAGTTGATTGACATCATCTCTGGCTGCCGTTTCCTCCACGCTGCTGAGCCCCCAATTGTCCACGGCGACCTCAAGTCCATGGTTCGTGGTGGTGGCGATGGCGGTGTTTTGTTTGCGTCTGTGCGCGAACACGGGCGCGCGTGTGCGTGTAAATACGATCCGCAAGATACGTCCCTCGCTCACTCATAGCCACCACACACGCCACCACATATCCTCGCGCGTGTGCAGAATGTGCTTGTGGATGCCAAGTTTCGCGCAAAGGTACTCGTGTGCGTGCGTGTGTGTTTGTTGATTTGTGTGCAGGTGTATGTTTGTGTGCACTGCAAGATTGCAGCATGTATGTGTTGGTGTCGTGTATTTGAGCTTGACCCTAGGCGTGAGCGCGTGTGAAAGCCGCCAGCACGAATATGACCATTCATCACACCACCTGCCGTTACATGGCCGTCACAACAGGTGTCAGACTTTGGTCTGTCACAGGGCGGAAGCTCCAAAGGGGTGTGTGGCACGCCATACTGGATGGCGCCGGAGCTGTTCAAAGGAGCAAAAAACACAAAGGCCTCGGACGTGTACTCGTTCGCCATCATCATGGTTAGTTGGCCCGCCTGCTGGGGTTGGCGTTGGGGTGGCTTGATAATTCTGATACTGTTGTTTTGCTGTGACGTGAGTGTGCGATTGTGGCACGCCGCAGTCAACGAAGGAGGGCAACAACAACGCCTGGTTGTACTGTACAGTTCATCTTCACAGCACACACATACACACACACACACACGCGTTCGCACGCATTCTCGCACGATCAATCAAACACACACACACATGCACACACATACACGCGTTCTCGCACACATTCTTACCCGCTCAATCAAACACACACACATGCACACTTGCGCAATCATTACGACACCACCGTCATGATGCTGCTTAACGGCAAACAACAGGCCGAGGTGTTTAGTCGTCAGGATCCATACCCGGCAATGGAGGACATGGACAAGGTGTTGCGAGAGGTGGTGCGACGCAAGCGGCGGCCATCCATTCCACGGGCAATGCCGGCAGAACTGTCCATCATCATGAAGGAGAGCTGGCACCACGATCCTGACCGCCGCCCCTCATTCAACGAGCTGAGCAGACGCATGGGCCACGTCGACGCGTCCGTGTGTCGCATTGCAGTGGAGAAGGTGACGCCGAAGAAACGCACGGGCGGCAACAGCGTACTAGAGGAGGTGTTCCCGCCCCACATCGCAGAGGCGCTTCGTCAGGGCAAGAAGATTGAGCCGGAGCACCATGAGCTGGTCACCATCTTCTTCTCGGACATTGTGGGCTTCACCAACATCAGCGGCACGCTCCCGCCAGAGAAGGTCATGAATATGCTTGACCGCTTCTACACAAAGCTCGACAAACTCGCCGACGAGATGGAGCTGTTCAAGGTGATGTAGTGCAGCATGTAAGAAGGAGTGAGAGGGGAGTGGAGAAGCCGCGCGGAGAGGCAACAGCGGATGTGTTTGACGGGGGAACTCGAGAGGTTGTCTGTCTACACGTACGTGTGTGCGTGTGTGTGTGTGTGTGTGTTGAGTGAGTGTTACGGTGAGGGTGAAAACAGCTGCGTGATTGAGTCGTGTCATCTATGTTTCTGCGTGTAAAGGAGTCGACGCTTGAAACCTTGTCTCACAGTTTGTTTTGTGGTTCCTTCTCTCCCCCCAGGTTGAGACGATTGGTGATGCGTACATGGCAGGTGAGAAGCATGGAGTGCGTGTTCGTTGGTACAACTCTGTTTCGTCGACGGTCTTGCGGCGCTGCTTTCCCTGGTTGAAGGCCATGCATGCCCTTTCGTTGGCAAGAGCAGTGACATCCTTGCGTTTGTACGTGGCACGGCCGCTCCAAGCCCGCCCTCGAACCTCACGATGCATTCCTGGCATCATCACCACCCACCCATCACCACCACCCATCACCACCAGTGACAAACTTGCTCAAGGAGCAATCGGACCACACCGCCCGCATCGCGCGCTTCGCAGCGGCTGCCATTCAGGCAGCGAATGCCACAGTCATCGATCCCTCCGACCCAAGCATGGGCAACGTCAACATCCGCGTTGGCTTTCATGCCGGTCCCGTCGTTGCAAATGTCGTCGGCACCAAGAACCCGCGCTACTGCCTGTTT